TGCAAATTGGCTGCCGTGTTCGTCTAGAAAATGAACAGTTATATACTTTACAGTAAATCCTGTGAAGCTCTTTGAGGTGTCTCAATGATGTGATAAGGCACTATATCAAATGGGATTTTTAATTTATTATTTTTATAAGTATCAAGGAAAGCAATGCAGTTCTCTAGACCCATTCTCCATATTGGTCCTGAAATCTCATTGCCATCTGGCTAGCTGATGGATGGCTGTCAGTAGTTGAGCTAAAGCACTGCAATAAACTGGTATCCATGCAGCACAAAACTGGTATCCATGCAGTTGAGCATCATCCTAGACATTAGGGTTTGGGCTCACAGGATTGAAGACATCTCTGTATCTCTTCACTTTGGTTATGATTACTTTGAACCCTCAAAGCTGGTTCAGAGAAACATAAAACATTCTCAGCATAAAAGGCTATTTGTCCCATTGTCTCTACAACTTTTTTTCACCCTTTGATATTAACCCCTTATTAAAATGATAATGCATTCCTTCTTTCTTTGCCCTTCTCTTCCCCTCCCCCTCTGAGGACATTTTTAGACATGAAATTCATTTTCATAATATTGAAAGTGTCAAGGGTTAAGTGGATCTACTGAGATTCAAGCCCAGAACTTTTCTAGTCTTGTGCTCAACTGGCAGAAGTAGCCAGTTAGTGAATGTAGGAAGCTTTTATCTGAGTTGTTCTCTTTCTAGAGGTCAGGTACACCCTAATCTTGTTATAGACAAACATCTATTCCATCTGGTGGTTTAATGCATACAGATTTCTTGCATTCTTGTCATCTGGTGGATATGCAAGGATTATTAATATTATTATGCGTATGTGTGTCCTTGATAGGGGTCTGAAATGCAATATGCATGGACCAAATTCATCACGATTTCTGAGTAGTGGATTGCGAAAAGGGACTATCGCATTCTGAATTTAATAGTGTGGGTAAATTGCTAATCGCAGTCAGGCAAATCCTGCAAAAGATTGACTGGAACAAGGTCTAATGTTTTGTGCCCTAGAAAGCAATGTAATGATAGGCATTATGTCCTCTGGCAATCTTGTGGATACGAGTAGGTACCATCTGATAGGCTGCATGTAGATCTGTGCCCTCTGGTGGTCTTTGATAGATTTGTCACCTACCCTAAGTTACTTTTGTAATACTGTAGATGTGTTTCTGGGTACTTGGGCAGTTTTGTAGTAAATACTAGACACCTGTTTCTTTTTGGCGCCTGCTATTTAGCACATTGGGCAAAATAGCCAAGGGCACATTTTATCCTTGGCTTGCAGCCCTACATCTTCACCCAACTGCTAAGGATTGCACTTCTCTGTTCAATTATACTAAAGACAAGGTTGCATTTATTTATTTTTCACAGCACCATTTAATTTCACGCAAAAACTTTCAAGCTCAATTATGCAACAAAATTAAATTGAATGTGGAACGTATTGGTTAAGCAAGACTGGCTAATGCTCTTGCTATTTTTGGTAGTCAAGATGAAGCACTAGAAGGTATGCATTCTTGTGACTCAATGGCAGCAACAACAACAACAAAATTACATTTGTATAGCGCCTTTCAAGTTGGGAGGACGTCTCAAGGCGCTGGACAGACAGAGTTTCAGAACTGAGCTGGGGGTTGGGGTGGGGGGGGTGGGGGCTGGAGGGCAGGGGGTTGACTGTAAGGCTTCAGTAGTGCATCGTGTTGTTGGCACAAGTCTTTTATTTTATAAATATCCAAATCTTAGGGTCTCCATAGCTGACATTCCCCAGCTTGAGTGCTGGTCCCCATGACACATGTATTTTCAGTCATTATCAACAGATAAGTAAGGTGCTACGTATAAGAAATAAGAATATGAAACACATGTACTCCATTGGATGGAACAGTCAAGCCAAGGGGGAAACTGAAAATGGTCTCCGGATGTTAATTGACTCATTGCTCAGCATGTCAAAACAATGTGAGGCAGTTATCCAATGCAAACAATGCAAACAGGTTGCTTGGGTATATTGCTAAATCAGTTGAATTCAGATCCCAGATGTTGTACTGAAATTATTTCACTCTTCAGTCAGGCTGTGTCTAGAGGACCACATACAATTCTTGTCACTGCAACATGGGGCCCTAGAGGCATAGGACTACATTTTAGCTAATATAGTGCTATGGTCAGGCCGTGCACAGAGTGTAGAGGAGAGCAATGAGTATGACATCCAGTGTTAGAGGAATGAGTTATAAGCAACAATTAGACAAGCTTCAGTCTTGAGAGGACGTCTCAGAGGGAATCTTATAGAGGTGTATAACATTTTAAATGGGATTGAAAAAGTAAACCCAGAACAAGACTTTAGGATATACCAAGACAAGCGAGCAAGAGGACATAGGTTTGGAGTTGGAAAGGGCAATTTAAGCGCAGATACCAGGAAGTATTTTTTTTATCCAGAAGGTAATTTGTGACTGGAACAGGTTGCTGGAATGGGTGATTTAGGCCAGGTCACTGGACTCATGTGAAAAAACAGCTTGGCGCTTCAATGAGGGAACAGAAAGGTGGGTTTTCTGGAAGGATGAGAACAGATGGCCCGAAGGCCCTCCATCAAATTAGTCTTGTGATCCAGTGATTTGTGACTGTCCAAATGGAGCTTACATACCTATGACATGTTTATTATGGTGACATGACCCTAAAGGCAGCATTTCTGGCCTGAACTTCTAAGCTGCTAAAGACAAGGAAATGTGAATTTCAGAAGCGATGCTGAAACCAGGTCCCATGGTACTACATTAGTGACCTGACATTGCCACTGATTCAGTCTGTTGTGTACCACGATCTATCTGAGGTCTGTACTTTAGCTCCAGAATAATTCTCCATCTTTTACAGTCATTAGAAGTCAACTGACTTATTTACAACAGGAATGAATTAGGTTGGACATGCTGTGTCTCCCCAGCTGTAAATTTATTTTCCCAACTCAATTAAACTACTCCAAATAAAGAATTTGGTGATCGCCCAATACTGTTTACGATGACACTTAGGACATATCATGTGTTTCGTTTTCAACAAAGCTATAGACTTTTTCGATGTTATCAGTAAAGCTGTGGTCAGTCATCAGAGGCACATGTAGATATGCTCGATAAAATCAAATCACTTCCTGGCACTGCTTCAAAGTGACTCTGTGGCTCTTTGTAGTGTAAAATCGTATTATGCTTTCAGTCCTATCTACTTTCAGCATGGTTTCGGAGAAAAGAGGGGAAAAACAAATGTTAGAGCAGAATATGGTAAGGTTAGCAAAATCCAATAACACAGTTCCTTGTATTAAAAATAACAATAGCGAAAACCATAGGGTAACATCTCAAAAACCTTTACAGAGATGTTGCTGATCACAAAGCACAGAGGGTGGGGAAAGAATGAACTTGAGAAACACAGATGAATTGTGTTGTCTGAAGAGGATCCTCACACCCATGTTCAAATCCCTTCACTCCCTGGCACTTCCCTGCTTCTCTAACCTCTTCACTCCCCAATCGACCAATTAACGCCTCCGCTCAACTAGCACCGGCCTCCTGCTTGCCCATGCATCCTCCGCTCCACCATTGGAGGTTGCGCATCCAGCCACTACGCCCCGAAACTCTGGAACACTCTCCCTCAATCCCTCCGCGTTGCTCCCTCTCTCCCCCTTTTCAAGTCGTGCCTGAAAACCTTCCTTTTCGACCGTGCCTATGGTCACCTCCCCCTTCCCTAGCCCGGAGTCAGGCTCCGTCATTGTTAAGCGTTCTGAGACGCGACCAAGTGTGGAGGGCACAATATGAGTGCAAGTTGTTGATGTTGATACCCTTCTCTGCATTCAGCAAGGATAATAGTATAAAATTGGCAATATTTTATTGTTTCTTTACCTGGTAAAGAGCTTAACCTCTTCTCACTGATTGTAGTGGTTTGATGTAATGGTTGGAAAGCGGAGGGTTATGAGGTTGACAAGTAAAGCGAGTCAAAATAGAAGCTTATTTGATACAGCGACTTTAAATATGAAACGTCTCAAAGCACTTCACAGATAATAGCTGTAAAGTGCAGTGACTATGTGTTTATAAGCAGGTAGGGCAGCCAATTTGCACACACAAATGTCCAACAAAGGGCCATGAAATGAATGATCAGTTCATCTGGAGGATTGTTGTCTTGCATGAGATTAGGGGACATTCATTAATATTTTACGCAAATAAATACTGCTGAAACCAGGCTTGCCTATGAATGGCATTCAATGCTGAACTGGACTTCAATTTTTAATGAGGCCTGAGCCATTTTACAATTAATCACTTTCTGATGGCTCATGGTCACTGTAGAGATACAAGTTTCAGCTGAGTTTAATATATGTAGTGATTAACAGGATAAAAAGGCACCATGGTTGTCATACATGTTTGCAGTCTAAGAGTAGAGGCAAGAACAAATCTCGATTGCTATGTAGTATATCCATGTGTTTAAATGACAACTATTTATTTCTCTAATAAAGTAACTCACCAGCTGACGCAATGTTGGAATTGTCATGGTTTATGTCACAGATTGGGGTCTCTTTCAAGAACTACCGAAAAATGATTCAAAGTTAAGACTGAATTCAACAATTTACCGAATTCCGCACACTTTCAAATTCTACATAAATAAACAATAACTTGCATTTATATACCTTCACCCAGGGTAGTATCTCAGAGCACCTAACAGTAGTGGAGCTTGGTGCCAAGCCAAGGAGAGGGGGTGTGTGACTGTAGGCATGCTTGAAGAGGAAATTCTTCAGCTGTGATCTGAAGATGGGCAAGGAAGGGTTCACGTGAAGGGATTGAGTCAGAGAGTTCCAAAGTTTCTGGGCATAGTGGCTGAAAGCATAGCTGCTGATGGTAGACAAGAGGGGATGAGGGACGTGCAAAAGGCCCATGTGGGATTTCTCTAAGCCTTCTGTCTGAATGTAACAGGTTCTTGTATTACAAACCTAGCAGTTTCTGTAATTATTTCATCCAGACATTTTGACAATTTCTGATTTTCTTCCCTCGCAGGTTGGTGGTCATACAATGCTTCCTATTCGCTGGATGCCCCCCGAGAGCATTATGTACAGGAGGTTCACTACAGAGAGTGATGTCTGGAGTCTGGGCGTTGTGATGTGGGAAATCTTTACTTATGGAAAGCAACCCTGGTATCAGCTGTCTAATAATGAGGTTTGTACAGGAAGGTTTTATATTTTCCAGTGAGACATTTATTATTATTTTATTAATAATAATATGCTCTTTGTGTTCTAAATCAGCATTTTGGTAAACGCTAGGGCTACTGATTTTTCTCAGAGGGAGAATGACATTTCTCTTAAGTCACATGTTACTTGATAATATTCTGGATACTTTATAATACATTTTGCATGGACTATGGAGATGGTTTATTACTGTGCCCAATTATGTTTTCTTATTTTCTCCACACTGGCCCTGGTCCTCAGCCTCTCTCGCTGGGTTGCAGTTCCACGGGTATTGATTACCCTCCAGTACCCTATCCGAGTGGCCATTGTTAAATGTCTTAAAAGTGGGTGTTGACAGCCCACTCCACTGGAGAAGGTATCTCAGCTGAGCCTGATCTCTGCTCACCCAGCTACCACACAGGTACACAACCAGTAGAGGGTACTGTAGAGGGACCCTTGCTGTTTTTCCCTCCCTACCCCAACGAAGCCCGAGGCCAGTTTATCTTGACTGTGTAGTCCTGGATGAGACCAGCAAATGCAGCATTGACCTGGGTTCAAACCAGCAAACTCTTGGTCCGTCAGCTACAATTCTATCCAATACACCATCTGTGCTGCTGTTTTTGGCTCATTCCATGGTTAGCTGCTTTCTCACTGCCAGAGAAGGACTTACCAAGATTGCTACTGCACAGCTCCAAGAAGTTATCCTTTAAGCCTTTAAGCTACACTGCTGCACCATGTAACTCTCAGATTATTATTATTAGTAGTAGTAGTAGTATTATGCTCTGCTAGTGGAAGATGTATAAGATGACTTCAGAAAGGAAAAAAAACAGAAAATGAACTCAGAAAACAGACACAAACAAACAATAACTCTTTGCAACAAACTGTTGCAAAGGTCGAGTTCCCTCAGCCTGTCATTCTGTCTGATCTTGCTTCCAGGTTATCGAGTGCATCACTCAAGGTCGCGTTCTGCAACGGCCAAGGACCGGCCCAAAAGAGGTGTACGACCTGATGATCGGATGCTGGCAGCGGGAACCCCACATGAGGCTCAACATTAAGGAAATTCACAACCTGCTCCAGACACTGGCAAAGGCCTCTCCAGTCTATCTCGATATCCTGGGTTAAGCCCTGGCCGACCTGGACAATTCTAGGCCTGCGTCTGTGTGCGCGAGACTGTTGCTGCATTTCTAAGAAGCTTGCTCTGATCTCTTGACAGTATTAACAGCGGTGAGAAGGAGAAGCTTTAAAGGGCAAACAACATAAACTTCTCCATCTGTAGACACATTATTGACTTTGAGTTCTATCATTCTCTCTCAAATTGATCTGGCTTCTGCTGAATTGTAAGTCTGCCTAGACCAAGGTCTTAATCTAACTGATTGTTCCGTTGAAGACCTTCAAGGTTTCTCACTGCATTTAGCCACAACTTCTAGTGATTTGATTTGGATGAAAATAAAGGGAAGAAAAGATGATCGAATCATACACAATCAGCTGCAGCAGAAAGGAAAAGAAAACCGATTGCTTCAACTATACATCTGCTACAGGCCAAGAATGAATATTAACTGAAACTGGGAAAGGGGGTGGGGGGGGAGAAATTATATATATGAATTATATATATGTATATGGAAACATTTTTAAATGGCTAAGGAAGGCATTATATTCATGGTTTACTGCATACTGATATGCTTCAGCCTTACCAATTGACTCCCAAACACTGACCTTGAAACATGACATTGTCCAACCGTTAAGTTCATTAGACAAATCTTGCCAACTTTCCTAGCTCCTTGCTTTCCTGTGTTTGTGTTGGACGGCACTCTCACAAAGAGGTGAGTGCAATAGCACAATGAGCAGAGAACTGTGTGACTGTAATTATGTTCGTACCATCTCCAGACAGGCCTTATGAGCTGCAGGCTGGAGCTTGCTGTAATGTTCAGTATTAATTTCGGGGTCAAACACTGAAGGTGATATACTTCAATAACGCAGCACTTGTAGTTGTCTAAGCAAATCATCTGAAAATGTGCTTAACCTGAAGCAGTTCCCCACCTCACCCCCACCCTTAGGTATGTGAGCGAAATAGAATTGTGCATGATGCTAATGCCATACTGTATGTACAAAATATCGCTCAAATCTTGTGCACCTTTTAGACATAGGATGTTATCCATAATGGTGTTACATATATTTAATTAGAGAATCTATTGGAGGCCATCAGCTGCAGCAAATGGCCTTATACTTTAACAATGTATGATGGGATGATAGAAAGGCAGAAATATGGAGAACCTGTATTGCTCATGTTATCTCCGAGGAAACAGTGGACTGGCGTCCGATGGGTAGACAGAAGTGATCCTATAATTAACATATGATACTCATCACATAAAACCCCTAACTCCAGCTTCACAATCTCGTTGCTATGGTGTCTGTGCTCCTGGCATCCTTCGCTTGCCTAATTTCTTTTCTTTCTTGGCTACTAATTGAGACATCTCAATGACATGATAAGGCGCTATATCAAATGCAAGGACTATTATTATGATTAATATTCTGACAGACAGAGCATGGTTACATGGCTCCACTGGACGCACGGTATGTCTAGCTTGTTGGCATATAAATCTTAGTTGTCGACTGATACTGGGGAACCCGGGTTAGATTTCATATCTGCTTGACAAGTTCACGCTGAAGTAAGCATCAGATCTGTCAGAAGCCAGTGTTATTTTTTTCTTTCAAAATGCTTCCCTCTGTGAGGTGGCACAGCTATATCTTGTAACTACATTTGTAAGCAAAGCACGTATTGCTCTTATTTCCTTAACATTACTGGAGGAGACCAGGGATAGGATATTTATTCTTTTTCTTATGTCTGATGGTCAAATATTTATTTAATAATTTAATAATATTTTATTTTTTGTTTCACTGACTTTTTTAACATAATTTATTAAAACCTTTCATTGTTTAATTATTTTGCACAGTAAAATAACCACTAACCATAAAAGAAACAATTTGAAACGTGTGTGAATAGTGTGACCCAGATCATCGCCATTATGCCTCGCTGTTCACTTTGCATTGGTCAAGTTCAGTGAAGTCAAATCTTATCTACCGGATGCATAGTAGTGCAGAGAGATGGGAATGTGGATTTGCACCCAGTGGATTTGCAGGGTAGAGAACAGGATGTGTTTAGATGCTAATGTGTTGAGAGGTCTCTGAGGTTGCCCATTTCACCTGCTTTTAGTTTTACAGTCAGAATTGTACCTTCCCCCCCACCCCCACACACACACACAATTTTAATGCAAATATTGAATGTGGAACAAGAAGTGAGCGAGTTGGATCAGAAATGTCAGCATAATCTACATTATAACATTGTTAGAGGTTGGTTCCTAGGATTGTTTCCACGAAGTTCAAGAGTTGTTTTTTTTAGATATTTGAATCGCTGATGTCAGTCAAATATATTTTGCACTAAATGCCATTTGTGTGTACTCCACTGTCTACCGTTTTGACAGTATCTCAGCAAGAATAGTTCATGAACAAACATGCCTCACTAAGGAATATTTACTGGTGAATCTCAATAGTGAGCGGAATTCTACACTAATGGAAGAGAACGACCTCTCTCCTGAAGGTGTTATGGGTATGAATTGTGCATTTGTCCTAGAAGTTCAAACCAAATCTCTATTACATTTGAGGAACTGCAGTTAATTCGGTGAACTATTTGAATTCTGGCAATTTAAATGTTAAAGTGCAGCATCCATGGCACAGCACTATTTTAAGATGAGCAAGGACACATACCATTCCTTACTCCAACCAATTTTGAAAACTCTATATTAATAAGTTTGAAAAGAGGCAACATTGCCGTTGAAAGTAACAGAGAATCGAAGGGACTGATACTAGAGCTACCCCTCCAAGCATTAGCAGTGCTGTAGCTGGACTGTGGAGAAATCCTCAGGATTGTTTCTTGCTGTAACTATAGACATCTCCCTACCAAACAGCTGATACTTGCACACTGGATTTAGATTGAGGAACAAAACCAAGTAGACATGCATTGAAGAGGAATGGAGTTGGCCAGGAATAACCACAGTGCAGATAGATCACTTTGCCCCTTGAGACAACCAGATGAGGGACTGGACCGATAATAAGGCTTCCTGGAGACTAAATGCAGGTTCAATATGGGCTAAGGCTATTTTGTTTTTGTTGCACCATGAGCATAGCTTAGAAAAGTTAGTGGAGTTTTCAGCTTCATTTCATGTCTTTAAAACTTTTTGGGGATGTGCAATTGCCCTTCATTAGTCACAAGGCAATGCCAATAAACCAATAGTCTCTTCATTTGAAATTACTCATCAGATATGCACATTATCCCACATCAGTGATATTGGGAAGGTAGAGATTTTGTTTCCTTCTGGCCCACAAAGGCATTTTTTTTACCAACCCTGCGTCACCCTCTTGGAACTCAAACTGTGACCTGGTGTAATTTTTTTAAGTATCTGGCTGGAAGTATTAATGTCTATTTTTTTTTCTCCATTTCAGTTTTGTTCTGGTTAAATCATATTTTTCAATTTCTCCTAAAAAAAATTCTCTGATGACATTTCTGTATTCTGTGCCCTCACAAGAATCGCACAGATGTTGGGATTCTGATATGTGGTGTCTTGACGCTGAAACCTTTGCCCTTTTCTTTCTGTTGGTCCCTTGTACGCATTTCTTTCTTAAATGGTCTGTGTAGCACTTGGCTGACTTGTAAATGACACCCGAGTATCTGTGTTATATATTTGTATGTTGAACCGTGACCAGTTTCTCAAATTGAAATGAAAAGTCTCTTGTGATACAGCAAATTCAATAGGAAAATTGTGTCTACAATAAACATTGTCATCAGAAATAAATTACACGTGCTGCTTCTTTCAACATTAAAATCATTCAGACTGATAGTGGGTGACTGCTACTCACAAACTGGCAAAACCTCACATTTATACTGAATAACAGGTGGTTGGCATCTAGCGTATGCCTGACTTTCAAACAGGTGGTTGAAAATTTTGTTTTGAGGCTATTTTACATTTGAACTCAGCTGTGACTGAATTCTCTCCTCCTCCTTCTCCCCTCCGCCATGTTAAGTCAATGGGAGAGTATCTTGATGTTATTGATGAAGCATTTTCATTCACTCTGAAATTCTCCGCCCCTTCGCTCAGCTAACACAGGCCTGCTGCGTATCCCTTGACCACCTCAGATACCATGCCTTCAGCCACTATGCCCCTAACCTCTGGACCTTCCTGTCTCAATCCCTCCACCTTGTCCCCTCTTTATCTTTAAATCACACCTTTAAAGATGTAGCTCTTTGACAGTGCCTATGGTCACCTCCTTCCCCCTTCTCCCTTGCTCAGCATCCAACCCCACCACCGTGCAATGCTTTGAGACAATATCCCGAGTGAAGGATGCTAGATAAATGCAATCTGTTTTTGTCTCTGAAACTCTTTCCCTCTAAATCCCTGCACCTTGCCCCCTCCCTCTCTGCATTCAAAACCTTTCCAAAAATCTACTATGCCAAGGGTCAATTTCTTTTTTCCCAACTCACACCTCTCCCTACAGCATCTCCTACCCTGCTCCAACTCCACTCCATATCTTCGAAGCGCTTTGAGACAATATTAACATGAAAGGTTGACATACGTTCAAGATTCTGCTGTTGACCTGAAGGATTCCACTAGTAGTTGTTTGGATCTGAGTTGTTCAGATCTGGAATGCACTGCCTGAAACGGTGAAGGAAGCAGATTCGATAACAACTTTCAAGAGATAGATAGTGGATAGATATTTGGGGATGACTAATTTGCAAGGCTATGGGAGAGCGGGGGAGTGGGATTGATTTGGATGGCTCTTTCAAAGAGCCGGCAGGGGTACGATGGGCCAAATAGCCTCCTTCTGTACTGTATAATTCTAGTAAAGTAAACTAACACCTGTGTTTGAATGCTCAGATAAATTCTTCCAACTTCATGACATGGAGCTTCTTTAAGAACACACACTGTTCCAATCCAGCTTAAAGATTCAGTTCACAGGTAGTATATTATAAAAAGCTCAAGTACTAATTCATTGTGCTGTGTTAATGTGGGTTCCAGTGTCCTGCTGGTAATTGCCAATGTGTTGAATTCCTGTATGTGGTTATGTTTCTAGGGGAAGAGGCACCATACTGAAGCCTTTTGTCAGAACTGACTTTCTGCTGAATAACATGTTTTTCATCAGAGCCAAAATCAACATGGTTGTTGGAAGGCGCAAAGGTTCTGCTTTTGCAAGATCATTTAAAACAACGTGCTAAAATATTAACATGTGGAGGGGGAGGAAGAGGGGGATAAGAGTATGATTTTGATCTCAAAGGGCCATACCAGGTAAATAGTTTTTGTCATATGCACTCAGGTTCAGATACTCACGTTTCAACTCACCAGGGTTCAAGATCACATTTAAATGACAATACCTGGATATTGTCATATAAATGTAAATACACTTCTAATTGTAAGCGCGGTACATGTAACAACAACAACAAGATTACATTTGTATAGAGCCTTTCACGTTGGGAGGATGTCCCAAGGTGCTGGACAGTGTACAGCATTTCAGACCCGAGCTGGGGTGAGGGAGGAGAAGGGAGGGGAGGGGAAGG